TTTACATCCTCTACAGAATTACTCAGTGGGTAAGAGAAAGTCAACCAGCATAATGCAGAGTCCTSCTGCCTATACTTTTCCTGTCAAACTGCTAACAAGCACAAATGATTTTTTAATGATAGGCCCCTCTACCCCTCAAAGCTGTCTACTCACAAACAAACGTACTCGCTCACAGGCACCGCACACTGAGCACGCTCACTCCCCCACATGTACATAATGAATTTTATCAGGGGATAGACGCTTGGTTTAATGGATATCTGCCATTGCCRTACCCACTCACGCTGCTGTATTGTTGTAAGTTCTAACAAGATGTTCCCATTTCCCTCATGTCAACTTATTTTTTTCTGAGATAAGCATGTGATGCAGGAAAACTCCAAATGACGATGTGTCCCAGTTATAGAAGATTAAAAAGTTGAAGCTAAGCCAAACAGTAGGTTGCAGCTTCATGTGTGTCCTGTAAATGTAAATAAGCTTAACTAAGAGCCATTATTTTGCTTCAAAATAAAAATCTAAGATTCATTTTGTTTTATAAAATGAGCTGTAAAGACCTGCAAAGGAATATAATGATTAGTCGAAGGAGTTATCAGGTAAAACATGATGGCTTCCAATATACAGTATCATTTACATACTGTATACTACGTATATCTTTTTCTGATATTACGACAAACGATGGCACAAAACTTTTGTAGCAAAATGTTGTATCGACAAGGTTAATTTACAAAAAAAACCAGTATAAAACTATTATTTTTGTTTGAATGTTTGTTTTTAATTGTTTTCATTTATCTAACCATTCTTTTTTATGATAGTAAACATCCTAAAGATTAACCTACATTTTAGTTCTGCTGCAAAGGTTTACGTTTCTCATATTTTTTTTTTACTTTTGCTCATTTCTATGCAATCACTTTGTTTGACGCACAAAGATACATCCTAAAAACATTTTTGTCGTATCTGACTATGGGCTGAGGTGGCCCCGTGATTAGTGTTTCAGTCTTGAGATCTATATATTTCCCTACTTGCAAACTATTCTTTAGTTTGATGTGACAAGTCACAATTTTTTTAACCTTTTCTACCCAAAAAGGTCACATTTGCTCCCTTTTATTGCAGCTTATATTTTTGGAACTTTGGAATTTCATTGACTTGTCAGCAAAGTGTTGAMATAATTTATTACAAAACCCTTGTACTTATTTTGGGATTGCCTGTATTTTTTATTTATTTATTTTTCAAAACCAGTGATGGTTAAAATATGATATTAGCAGTAAAGATTGGAGACATCCTCACTTTCAAATAATTGCAAGTCTGCAGCTGTTTGTGGGTTGTGGATTGGACTCTACTAGAAGATAGTCTGGGAAACTAAACTCAACCCCACAAGTCAATGCATGCATTTTGTACACAGAGAGAAATGCAATATGATCACAGGGGCAGAACATATTAAAAATATATATAAATAAACTCAAAGAAGAAACAGAGAGATGCGTTATGTTTTAGATCAGTGGTTCCCAAACTTTTTATCTTCTGACCCACAAAATATCCATGGCAAAAACTTGTGACCCCAAATATTACTGGTCTGAGTACACAA